GTCCATACCAATTTTGGTGAAGATCCATCCACAGAAGGTGAGGTAGTGGTAAAAAATGCCCATAAAAATTGCAAAACTGAAAAGCTGTATGTACTCCCACATGGACCTAATGAACGTCCATACCAATTTTGGTGAAGATCCATCCACAGCCTGCGAAGTACTTACACGGACATACAACAGACAGTACTATTACATTTATTTAGATACACACAGACTTAAACAATAAAAAAGCTGTGAATGAAAACTATCATTAAGTAAAAATTAAATTAAAAAAATTACTAAACTTTATTTTTAAATGTTGTTAGTTTGTGTTCAAAACACATTATAAGATATATATATTCAAGCTCAATTTTATTAACACAGTTCAAGAAAAATTAGACATGGTAATTTATATAATTAATATTTTATTATCATTACAAAAAACAAATTTACACATACAAAATACCTTCATGATGGAAATTAAAAAATGCAAGTGTCGATACATGTAAACATGTTTCCCATGTTAAGTCAGGCCTAAAAAAGGAGAGAGAGAAAAAAAGGTTTAGGTGATTACACTAGTCCAAGCAAGAGAAAAATACAAGAAAAGTAAAACATATAAAGACAAATGTTCCAAAAAAGTACTTTGTTTTGCTTCACTCACTTACAACTATCACAGCTGCAACTGTCAGTTTTAAAAAACTACACATAGTTGTGTCTCTAAGACAAAATAAGGAAGGTCATAGTAACAAAATTCAAGACTGGTTACAAAATAAAAATTCTTATTCACAAAGTTGAACAAAGTTGCTAATTAATAAACCTTTGACAACAAGAAAAACAAGGAGTTAGGTACACTAAGTCATTTATAAACTGTGGCATTACTGCAGGCCTGTAGCAATAGAGAATTCAAATAAACCCCACTAGCTAAGAAGGGTCATACAATTTGGTCACTTAACTCAGCACCAGAATAAGTTGTTGTTGTTTTTTTATGGTACATTTATCCCTAATTTTGAATTGTCAACCAAATCAGCACCTACCACAAACTTCTGGACTAATTTTTGGGATAGACCGTCACATTATAATGCCCTCAAGACTGAAAGAGGAAGAATTTTTGGTTCCAAGTTTCGATCCCGTCGTTTACAAATTATGAGTTCAGCACACTAACCACCAGGCCATGTCAATCAGAATATGTCTCATCTTCCAACTAATATTTCTAATTTTCACTAATACTAATAAAGCTACCTTTTTACTGAACTTATCATAAGAGTTTAAAGACATACTCTACTGAAATAATGAAAACTCTAAATATTACTATTTACCTCAGAAACCTGGTACCTAAAATTAGATCATCCCAAGCAGTTTCTGTTATCTGATAAGTTAATCAAATGTAATGCATCCATATAAAACCACACACACCACTGCCTTATGTTAACATAAGCAATAAGTTCATTTGATTTCGAGATAATGTTCTATATTAAAATAAGAACACGTAATTGTCATCACTACACTGAAGTATTTTACTATATTTAAATTTTGGCTGCAATTATTTACAAAACAATTATGTTCTACATGCCACCTAACTGTTGTACCATGTGATCCTACGTCCTCAATCTCCGACACTATAGAATAGGAAAATTAATGATAATCACGAGCATAAACTGCTGCTTACTTTTGTCTAATATTTTTTACAAATAACAAAAATACTATACATACCTAAGTAATCATCCATGAGAGTTCCTATTGCAAACTAGAAAAATAAGAAAGGAATTGTAGTCAATGATTTAACATCTAGATTTCTTAACAATGATATAACATCCAGATTTCTTAACAATGATTTAACATCCAGATTTCTTAACAATGATATAACATCCAGATTTCTTAACAATGATATAACATCCAGATTTCTTAACAATGATATAACATCCAGATTTCTTAACAATGATATAACATCCAAATTTCTTAACAATGATACAACATCTGGATTTCTTAACAATGATTTAGCATCCAGATTTCTTAACAATAATATAACATCCAGTTTTCTTTCCACACAAAGATCTGATGTGTTTTATGGGACACTAAAGTTGATGATTTAAACAATGTGAAAATATAAGACATTCAAAAAACTTGTAGAAATTATTTCTGTATGTTACACAAAAAAAACACAATACACCAAAAAATATGAAACAGCTAAAAAAAAGGAATAAACTATCATTATTTTCTGACAGCACTTAATTCTAAACAAACCCATGTTGTATACTTTCATACTTCTGTGGTCAATACAAGGTAAACATCTAACTAAAAAAGTAATATCATACTTGGAAAATAAATAAAAGAAAACAATCATTTACTCCAGATAATTTATTTTGTCCAACATTTCACGTTTTCAACTTCTTCGAGGCTCACACAAAAATCTTTGTTTGTTTTACAAATGACAAATATTCTCCAGTTAGCACTAAAACTACGAATCCAGAAAATATTCGTCACCAGTTAACTACTTTACAACTTGTGGAAAATGGCTTGAATCTAACGTAAACATTGAATAATGAAAGCTAGAATAAAACAATATGGGAAATAGAAGTAAACATCCATTAAAGAGCTTAGTAGACGGATACGGATTTGAAGATTACTGAGCTTAAATCAAATGCAACTAAAAAACCAGCAAAACATAGTTGAAAAAATACTCGAAAATATTTTAAAATAAATATTTCATAAATGTACAAATTCTGAAAATGGATTTTTTTTTTAAATAGGCTTAGTAATCCAAAGTTCAATAAAATTAGTAATGTATTTGCTATAATAAAACAGGAAAATGTATCATTGTATTCAAATTTTAGCTGAAAAGTAAGAATTCTAATACAGCAAGCAAGATTTTAGACAGGATTTAGTCATTTAAGCATTACAGACATTTTCAGAAAAATTTCATTATATTCTACACGTAGAAATTGATTCCATTTTTAAAGTTACAAAAGAAAAATTTCATTCAATATCATCAAAAACACTGTAGTCAACTGTCCTTACTCTACATCAGCATGACTTGGCTAATATGTATTAAATATTATGCTGTAACCTTTCTCAGTCCAGTATTTCATGCTTTTTTATGAGCACTTGTTTGTTTGTTTGTAATTATGCACAAAGCTGCACAATAAGCTATCTGTGCTCTGCCCACCACGGGTATTGAAACCTGCATTGTAAGTCCATAGACATATCACTGTGCCACTAGGGTTTTTTTTAAGAGTGACTACAAAATTTCTGCCTGGTCTCCCCCCCCCTCTCAAATAACCTATGAAATAAAACTATAACTGAAATTTCCTGATTTAGAAGTTTGTTTTCACATAAATTATATTAGCATTTATTTTCATATGTAGTAATTTTAAAAAAAATCCCAACTGCTGACTGTAATTTTGACAAAATTGCAATTTTTATATGAAGAGTAGAAATAGTTAAATTTCCTCCCCTCTTAGATAAAACTTTTCAATACACAAAACAAAGCTCTGGTCTACATACGTTTTTTTTTTTTATTTCTGGTTTGTTTGTTTTTGAATTTTGTGCAAAGCTACACGAGGGTTATCTGTGCTAGCCATCCCTAATTTAGCAGTGTAAGACTAGAGAGAAGGCAGCTAGCCATCACCACCTACCGCCAACTCTTGGGCTACTCTTGTACCAACAAATAGTGGGATTGACCATCACATTATTTCACCCCCACGGCTGAAAGGGCGAGCATGTTTGGTGGGACGGGGATTTCAAACCCACGACCCTCAGATTGCGAGTCGAGCGCCCTAACCACCAGGCCATGATTATTTCTACCGTAAATAGTTTTAAAAAAGTGAAATTATTTTTAACTGGTAGTGTCAAAATTGAATATGAACTTCATGTTATATTCAACAAACCTTATACTTTTAAAGCAAACAAAATTATATATGTATATATCTCCTGCAAGCTGGGATTTTCTCACTCAGAATCTATTTGCTGTAGAACAAAAAAGTTTAAAAGTTTGCAACTCGTACAAGAAAGAAAACCAACTTTTACAAAGCATATAGAAAAACAAAGCTATGATATAGCTGGAGGTTTTGGTGTAATGGAAATATCAATACTAGATCTCCTACTTGTTTGTTTACTGTGGGTGTATTGTGTAACTGCACAGTTTAATTTATGATCAAAACCTTCAACTGGTTGTCATGCTTTATGCCTAAAATAGCTACAAATGTAGAAAACCTAATATCCTGCCTCAGAATTGGAAATAATCCAAAAACAAACAAATCAGACCTGTTCCAATGTTTTATTACCTTATCAAGATCATATCATGAACATTTAAGTATACATGAATCTGAGAGTAATTTATTTTTAATGAAAAAATCAAAGAATCTTTTATCATTAGAACTAAAATTAAAACATAAAAGAAACATCTCTTCCCACTGTTAAATTAGTTTGTTATACCACAAAACAATTATGCTACCTATTTTCCATCATAGTCCTGTTGCTAGTTATGATATGATACATCATGTACTTACTATATCTGTAGCATCTACTCTGGTTCCAACTATCTTCAGCCGTATCTTATCATCTTGCTGGATCACAACATCCTTGAAGAATTAAAAAAAGTCTTTACCAATAATAAAATGCAAAAACATTTCTGAAGCAGAATGGAAAATCATGTTAATATAGTAAACATGAGGTAAAATGTGTATTGATAAAGTAGTTAATGAAAAAAACAGAGAAATTAAAATTTCTCTCAAATCAATGAAAGTGAGCAACAACAAAAAAAAGACTCCAAATAACTAACTAAATAAAATGTTCAACCTGGCTAACATACACAAGTTATTTATAGTCTGAAATTGTATATCAAGTAAACATCTTAGAAAAATACAGAACACAGGTTCCTCAGTGTGCTGGTAAAAAACAATAACAGTGTTGAGATCAAAGGGAATATCTGGTTTACAGCCTTGCTTTATCAGCCATGATTTACGAGATGGTAAAACTTCACAGCTTCTTGTGTACATTTGTGTAGACCTATGTAGTAGGTGCATCTGCCCCTTCACATAATAAACAGTAGCATTTAAATTTATGAAATCCAAAGATAAAGGAACCAAAAAATTGAAAAACCCTCATGTTCAAATGGACAGGAAAATAAAGAGGCATATCTCAAATTACAAGAGAAGACTACACTGTGCAGAATAAAACTAATTTAACTCCTTCCACGAGGTTAAAATATGTTCCTGTAAAAGTCATTACCCTCCAAAAATTGGAGTTAAGATGTTATGTTTTCCAAAATTCAATGCCTCCCTTTTTGGGAGGTTAAATAAATGTCTAGGTAATAAATTGGATGAGACATCTGTAAGCTCCAAATCTAGATTGGATATTGGATACAGAATAATTTTATATATGTGTGTGTGTGTACATAAATATATGTACATAACTGAGATAGACAGTCACACACTTTGTGAAAGCACTCAACTTTTGTCTGAAGTCCAAAAATTCTCATGACTTCCATGAACATGTACTCAAAATCTGCCATGAAGTGAAGGAGTTAAATTGGTATATTATCTCTACAAAGTCTTTAATTACAATATCAGGCCTTAGTCTGTCTTATCTCAAAAATTTCAACAGAAAAAAAAATTATAAAATTGCAACTGAAAAACTATGTTGCATTTCAGAGTTGTATGTATCTCTACAATTATTTCAAGAAATTACAAAAAGATTCTCATTAATTTCCATTTAGGACTATAAATCATACCTCATCTTGACTCTTGTAGCAAGGAGGATTACCATCTGGTGCATACTCCATGTCCGAGGGTATTGACTAAAGCCAAAATAACACGAACTATAAGTTACAGGTTTAACTTCAAAGAAAGAAGGTCAAGATAATATTTTAATTTTTTTACATTTCTCTAATTATTTCAATTAAAACTTTTATACATAGTACTGATACTGTAGAATACTAATGACTTTGAACTTTTGGAATTGAAATAAAATATTTTTGTGTTCTATAAAGTAAGAGAAAATGTCAGAGAAATTCTGAAAGAAAAAGATATCACAAAACTTTAAGGTTTGCAAACGTAACTGCCTTAATTATCATAGTGTCCTGATTCAAATAGTTATTCATAATTGTTAAATTCTATAGCTTAAGAAAAGTGACACTTTTTATCAGACATGTATGCAATATTATTTAGATTTTCTGGATATGCAAGTATACAAAATTAATGTATAACAACAATAAAATTACTATCTATGTTCTAAACAAACAGTTGACAAACTACTGAAAGTTTCTAGCACTTCAGTATCTATAAACAAGAATAGAAACAAAAAACTAAAGATAAAACTTAATACATTTGTGTTATGCTGATAAACTGAAATACATAAGAATATCAAACAAGGTAAGCTAAACTCATAAACCTGAAATCTGCTGAAAATCAAACAGTAAGTTAGTCAGATATTAAATACACATTCAGTAAATGGAAAATATTTATAGTTTCATAGGCACTTATCAATGGAAAGCAGCCATTTTAACATTTATATAGCGACCATAAAAGTTAGAAAAAGCATTTCAACATTTCTAAATATACTATTTGCAAGTAAAACAAAATCAAAACCATCTCATCCATAATACAGACTTAATGAATTAATAAAAGTAACAGTTTGTTAACCGAGTCACAAAGAGGTTTATTAAAAAGGTTCCATTTTGAAAAATATTCTAATTTCAGTTATAGTTATAATTAGTTGCTCCCTCTAAACTGTGCAGCTGCACAACTACCAATCAAGTGCTTTGCATTTCATTATTCCAGCTGTACACAACCTCAGTAATGGTGAGGAGTCTCAACTTGTTGACGGCTTTAATGACCCTGGCAGTTTATAGGCCTAAAGCCCAAATAACCAACTGGTAGTATTGCAAGGTGGTCTAATGATCCAATAGGGGTCGATGGACTAAAAATACCACTTCCCCCAAAAACAAATAATACTAGTACATCTGCACATTGCCTTGATACTGGTGCACATTAAAAATTAATTTCGCACCTGGTGGATTGAAACAATTAGAGAGAACATTGGTTACAACACATCGTACACTTATCATTAGCCAGTTTAAAACTATCGCTACATTGATGTTGTACAAACTTTTTGAGATCATCAAAATTAAGTATCCTACTTGATGATTACTTTTATTTAGCACTATTAATATTTGTATTTTGTAAGTGGATTAACACTTATTGGTGTGAGACTCAAAATTCACAATGTTAAAAATATGCACAAGTTTATAAATTGCAGTTTAAGACACATTCCAAAATTGTTTGTTAAAACCACAATGTTTATTATATCATTTTAACCTCAAGTTACTTTATGAGCAGAGAAGGTTTTGTCACCTGTATTTTCTTTTGGAAAATTTTATGCACACAAACCATATGCAATACATTATTAAGAAACTGTGAACTGTTAGGACATTATTTTTCTTCCTGTTATGTTAGCTACAAAATATTACAAGCAAAAAAGATATTATAAATACCTATCTAAACTGATAAATTCGTTAAAAGTAAAAGTACTACAAATTCAACTTTATAAACAAGATGCAAAGAATGGTTCACGACAACACTGTTAATAAATTCACTAACTTGTAATTCTGTGACAATACGTTTAGGTGCATGATCTATTTCCATCATAAAGACATGTTCATATAAACATAGTATTTTACATACACATTCAATTTTAAAATACTAGCATCAAATATTCTCTAAACACTGAAATAACACTGGTTGTAGCAACAGCTTTGTTAAAGTTCTTCTGAAGATATCAAGTTTGGGAATTCATTACACACAAAAAAAGGAAAAAGCATTACTTGTTTAAGTATGTTAACAATATTACACAGTCCTCACCTTTATATATTATTCTCAATGAATTATCCTTGTAAATAAGCAAAAATATAAAAGCTAAATCAAAATATACATATATATATATTATGCTTAAAAGAACTAATATAAAGAGTAAATAAGTTGCACTAGAAAAAACATTGTTTCATGTTATAAAGTACATTAGCTTGGTTCAATAGTTTGCTCAGTCTTCCAGAACTCATTTTCATTCATAGGTGTACATGTAAAACACTAATTTTTAAAAACAACCAAAATTTTACAACACAATAGGAAAGTCAGGCTAACTTACTGATTCACATAAGAAATAAATATCTGTCATCATAACAAAACAAGGACAAACCTAGTATAACTACTGAAGGTCAAATATAACTCCATTGTTTTCCCAATAATTAATCACAAACAAGAATAAGGTCTGCTGGTACATGGAAACAATTAAGAGTCTACAGATTCTAACTTGACCAGCAAATAAACAAAATGATAACAACAAAAATATTGGAACTGAAAATGATGAAAACAATCTAAAAAAAATTGAGGCGATATGAGAGGTGGGGAAAGGTATGCCCACAATTTTTAAACGATACTGTTTCTATAAGACATTACATTCTGTTTTCTCTCATCATTTTAAGCTTGTATGTACTGCTTCATTCCACTGACCTCTTAACTGAAGGTTATTTAATTTTTATAACTAAAAATAATTCCTGACAATACAAAAATATAAGAAATTTCTAAATCTTTCCAAAAACAAAAATTCTCACATGTTTTGATATGAAGCATGATAAAGGTCCAATCTGGGTGAAAAGGCCAACCTATAAAAAATCAACAAAAACATACTGTTTAGTAAACTATTTTTATAATGCATTATACTTTATTTTTCATAATAACAAATTCAACTAATCCAAATGTAAATTTGATGTTATTTTAATAACCTGTCAGATACCTGACTTGTCAGCATTCAAAACTAGTTACTAAGTTAAGTGGAAATGTCTTACTCATTCAGATTTTTTTAAATAATTAATTTCAATTCAAATGATTTATAATCTCAGACTAATGCTTTACAAATAATTAAAACTACACTACATGAAAATAGGATACTTCTTTTAATTAAAACTACACTACAAAAATCCTCAGATAGCACAGCTGCACATAAAACTTACATTACACATATAAATAGGATACTTCTGTTATTTCAATTTCATTTTTACTTCAAATCCACTTCTCACATACTAATCATTGTGCAAGATGAGCAGTTACCCTGTGCCAAATGCTCCTAAAAATCACAGATGGGCATGTAAAAATTCAAATGAACGTGCCTGGTTGACAAGGAAAATACTGGGTGATCATTTCTTCCTAAATAAAATTACATTTCTGTTTCTGGCCAGTATAAAAGGAAATGTACTCTTTAGACTAAGCAAGGTTTCCTGTTTTTTACCATGAATGAAGGGTTCCTTTTGTTCATACCATCTATCAACTTGTAGCCAAATAAATCATACATGTCTGTATGCAGCATTGATTTGATATTTATGCCAGTAAGGGCTAAGATCCAAATTTACATCTGTTAATGTCTACGCTAACTGACTAACTATAGAATGGTAGTATGTTATCAATGTAGGAAAGCCCCCACACAGAATAAACAACAACTTAAAACATAAAACAATGTTGGACATTTATTATGAATGCTCATGTATTTATTGGTCCAATCACATTTACTTGCAAATGTGAAAGAAATAAACCAGATTTGAGAGTGAACCCTTGTTCTGTGAAATATTTTCTTTATGTTATAAGTAAAATGACAAAAAAATGTGGTGAATAAAATTATCTGATCTTAAGAATATTTTAGTTAAGTTTTAAGAGCTAACAGAAAACTTACTGAAACAGTTACATGTAGGTCTAATGTAATAAAACTGGCTCTTATATCTGCTCTCTGGATAAGGAACAGCTTACAGCAATCTCTAATTTTGTTCATCAGTTTCATTATTGAAATATTTGAAATTATAAGACCTGAAGTTAAAGATTTACTTAGGATATTAAAGTATCTATGAATATTATTTAATTTACTTTGTCTTACTGTCATGATATAAAAGACTGTTTGGTTTAAATATTAGTGATTAATTTATATTTGTGAGTGAATATTTTATTATTTTTAAGTTTTGTTATAATAAGAGTTAAAAGCAGACAATTCTAGAAAATTTGTTAATAACTAATTGACGTCAAGAATATATAGAAAGTGGCTAGACAACTATGTAATAAAGATATAAATGACGTGAGATGAGAGGGAAGCAGCAGACAGACAGTATTAGACAGATAAAAGCAAAGAGAATATAGTTGGTGTGAAGTTAAGTAACGTAAAAGTGATAGGCCTAACGACTGACATAGGCCTAACGATTAATATAGATATTAGAGTGAAACTAACAGTGGAAAAGGAAATAAGAAAAAATAAGTTTATTCCGTCAAAGCGAAATTCTAAAGTAATTGAATCAGTCTGAGTGCACTTTGACAAAAGAAACATGGGATCTTCAGAAGAAAGAAGACCACAATCGTAAGTGAATCACACCAGACTAATATTGCGATAGTATTAGAGAAAATAGTTCGGTTTGTCAATTGAGATTCTAAACTAATTGAATAGGCCTAAGTGGACTTTTGACAAGAAGAGGAGAACTATACATATACTGATATAACGTTTACGATATAGTTATAATCTCTATAGTGTGAATATATGTATTATTTGAAAACAAGTAAAGTGTGTGCTGTTTATTTATTGTTGAATTTATCACTAACAAGTCACAGACACCTACCGTAGAAGAATCCTAAGCCCAACAACTACTTAGTATATATTTATACTATTAAGAAATATAAGCAAAAGCCATTCATTTCGACATTGGCAGAAAAAAAACACAAAGAAACAGAACCCATATACATATATAATATTATTTTTTTTCAAATCCGACGTCTATTCACATAAGGTTACCTTTAGATTTCATTTTCACTTGATTATATGTGACGTTTGTAATTAGTTAAGATAAAATATTATAATCATGCACAGTACTTACTTTCTAGTAAAGTTTACATATATAAGCTCATCTTTACTTCACAGCAGGCGTAAAGTTTGTTAAACCTCGTATATAAGCTCATCTTTACTTCACAGCAGGCGTAAAATTTATTAAACCTCGTATATAAGCTCATCTTTACTTCACAGCAGGCGTAAAGTTTATTAAACCTCGTATATAAGCTCATCCTTACTTCACAGCAGACGTAAAGTTTGTTAAACCTCGTATATAAGCTCATCTTTACTTCACAGCAGGCGTAAAATTTATTAAACCTCGTATATAAGCTCATCTTTACTTCACAGCAGGCGTAAAGTTTATTAAATCATATATATAAGCTCATCTTCACTTCACAATTCAGCTTAACTTACTCAGTGAAAAAAAATAAGGTGTTTCCTTGGAAAACATTTCAGTGTAGATTAGAAAATAAATTATTAATTGTAAATGTTTTCAACAAAACACTAAATCTACATTTCCTGTATAATTCGCATACTGACAAAAGAAACTTTTGTGTCTATTTTTATATACATATATTCAGCAGTTTTTCGTTTGGAGTACATGAAAGTATTTTAAAATGTTCACGTCATGTTCTCTTCGTGAGTTGCACATTACACACGAGTGTTATGTTCTTGTGTTATTTACGTAATGCTCCCATGCATCACACAACACCGTAAATATTAAAATAGCACCTTATCATATGTCATTTAAATATTATTCAACTAACGTTTGTAAAATCAAGAAAAAGTGTCTTATTTTATTTTTAATTTTTTTTACGTTTGGGAAATTACAAGCTGCCTTTATTTCTATACAATTTGCACAGTCGATAACATTACTTTGAAAACAAATTTAATATAAAAAGCTAATAAAATAGCTATAATTTTTCCTTCTCTATTTGCTTTTGGAAAGATTTAGATTTTTTTATTTGAATGTCTCTGGAAAGGGATATTTTCATCACCTTTTCTACGTATTGAGAGTAGATGATATACATGCCAATTTTAGATACAAGGGACTTTAGGAATGACCAATATTTTTAATATTTAACCATCAAACTTGCAGGTTTTAATGCGCATGTGCAAATTATTCGCATAGTATATTACACTTCCATCCAAAAAACTTACAATTATGTTTTATGTGTCATATGATAGAAGCATTCTAATGAAGCAAATGAATTAGAGATTGAAACATGTGTTATTCGAGCTGAGTAACTTACCAGTAACTACTCAAGAGATTTGGGGTGCGGTCTCACTTTTCACTTTTCCAGAGAACACATAAAACATTACCTAGAACTTGCACCATTATTTAACCCGTTTCAGTTTGTTTAGCTCAGAAGTTTTCAGAGTTTTATGGTAATTTATTTTCCTGCTTTGTCTGTTTTTTTCTCTGAATGTATTTAAAAAGTCATAATCTGTGTTATGACACAGATAGCCTCGTTTTTCTAAGAAATTTTGTCATTGAATCGAGCAATCATAGAAACTGGAAATCATCCATAAAGTCAATAAGAGATATTTTTAAATCTTTTAATTCTCCATTCGTCATTAATCAGCAAGCTACTTTCATGGCCTATTTTATCCGCTATTAAATTCTCAGTAAGTGCAAAAAATAACTTGAAGGATTATTATGAATTAGCTGAACTTGGTTGGAACGTGATATGATTTGATGTTTGTAGAATTAGTGTGTCACCAAAAGTACAAACCAGATATAACATGCAGTTTTTTTAGGGCTGTCACGTCTCAAACCTTGGACACTTGATCCGCCGCCCCACACACAGACTATTAGGCCACGACCAGTCTTTTTACTGTTACAGATTAATTTGAAATTAAATTTAGACAACATTTCATTTAATGGTTATATAAAAGTTCTATCGAATAAAATGTATAAAGTCATTGTTTCCTAAATATAACTGAAGGCATATAATTTTTTAGGGATTCTAACCAAATTTATTGTTTCAGCTTAATATAAATCACTAAATTTTGATGTCTTCTTCTGCATATATATATATAGCTTAGTTACTAAATTTGAAATGCTCCAATAATTTAGGTTGTCCGTTACAATTTCAGTTCTTGATGTGTTACAGCATTTAGAATCAATCAATTCCTTTAGTTCAAAAATTCCGAAAAAGCCTTTGTGACGTAGATGTTGTGCACTGCCTTCTCTCTAATAAACAGTTCAAGTTTAAGGAAACAGCTACATTTGAACCATAGGGTTTCTTACATGACTGCTTAGCCCGCGTGCGCAAAAGATGTCATTCGAAGTCTGGTGGTTTTTGTGTTTGTTTGTTTTGACTTTCGCGCAAAGCTACACGAGGGCTATCCGCGCTAGTTGTTCCCAATTTAGCAGTGAAAGACTAGAGGGAAGGCAGCTAGTCATCACCATCCACCACCAACTCTTGGGCTACTCTTTTACCAACGAATAGTGTGATTGTTTGATGAGGCCGGGATTTGAGCCCGCGACCCTCAGATTATGAGTCAGGCGCCCTAACAACCTGGCCATGCCGGGCCTTGTGGTTTTTGTGCCCATGTTGTGAATACGAGGATTTGGAGTTCGTGTTTCATTGTCCTAAAACACAAAAGAAAAAAAAAGAGTTCCGCACTTTGGGGCCAGTGGTGAGCTATAAGAATGATAGTCAGAAAAATGTAGCCCAAACGTTTACTGCGGTGATGTTGACTAGTTGTCTTCCTTTCAAGTCTATCAGCTCAGAATTAGGGACGGCTAAGTGACTTGTAGCTTTGAACACAATTCTAGAAAAGAAACAAATCACGACTTATAACGTTAAAATTCGGGGTTTTGATCACAAAAGCGGACACAGCACATATATATAGCTCATGTGTGGTTTTTCCTCTAAAACCCCTTTTTCTTTCTTGGTGAGCACGAAGTAGTAAATTAGTTAGTCAGTTTTTGTTCCTAATACACGGTCATAATGAAAAACAGGAGGAACAAAAGTCTTACAAAATCTGAAGACTCGCGAGTTGATATATTTGTTTAGGAATGCAAATGGAGAATATTTGAATATGCGAGAAATTTGCTGAAACAATCGATTTATTTTTACATTTGTAAAAACATCTAATAAGAAATATTTAATTTGAAGAATGTTGAACTCAAGTACTAGAGTACTGACTTGAATATGAATTGGGTTAAAAAGAAATTAAATCTCAAATTCGTGCATTGTTTTAAGTTGTTATCATTTATTTTGTTTTAATTCTTATGATTTGTCACTTATACCATTATGTTTAGTGTTTAATTTTCACTAAGCAGTGACGTCCGATTGTATATTGGCAGGGCGTGGCCCATGCATAACGTACAAGAGTGTGGATCCCATCGAACATTGTTCGCGTCTCGTTGCTATAATAATAATAGCGCATTCGCACGTTGGGTCCGTTGTTCGAAACACATTGTTCAATTAGAGTAGCCAAGAGGTTGGCGGTGAGTGCTGTTGACTAGGTGTCTTTTCCTC